TGTCTGCCACCCCACTACCTGCTACCCACCACCTCCATTGCCCGCCACTCCACTACCTTATCCACCACCCACTACTCCACCCACCTGCACCCACACCCATTGTCTGCCACCCCACTACCTGCCACACCCACGTCTGCCCCACCACCCGCACCCACCACTCACTGCTGTCACCCTGACCACCCATCCCACCACCATTGTCTGCCACCCACTACCTGCCACCCACTGACCCATTGTCCACCCCCACCCACATCCACCACACTGTCCTCTGCACCCCACTACCCACATCCACTGACCCACTGCCACAATCTCCACCACCATCCACCAATCTCTGTCTGACCCCCACTGCCTGCCACCCACCACTCCTGTCTGCTCCCACCCACCTGCCACCCACCCACGTCTGCTCACCCCACTACCTGCTACCCACACCCATTGTCCACACCCCACCTACCTGCTACCCACCACCATTGTCTGGCCACCCCACTACCTGCATCCACCACCCATTGTCTGCCACCCCACTACCCTGCCACCCACCACCCATTGTTCTGCCACCCACTACCTGCTTTCCGCACCACCCATTGTCTGCCACCATTCCCCTGCCACCCAACACCCATTGTCTCGCCACCACTGTCTGCCACCCACCAATCTATTGTCTCGCCCCACCCACACCCACACCCACCCATCATCCGCTGTCCCACCACCTGCCACCCACCACCCATTGTCCCACCCACTACCTGCTACCCACCACCCATTGTCTCACACTCCCTGCCACCTGACCACCCATTGTCTGCCACCCACTCATCTATACTCCACCACCCATTGTCTGCCCACCCACCACCGCCCCACACCCACCACCACCACCCATTGTCTGCCAACCCACTACCTGCTTGTCTCTCCACCCATTGTCTGCCACCCACTATGCCACCCACTGTTCAGGCCACCCACCTGCTACCCACCACCGCTTGTCTGCCCACCACCCACTACTTCTACACCCCAACGTTTGCCACCCACTACCTGCTACCCACCGCACCCATTGTCCCACCCCACCTGCTACCCACCACCCACGGTTTGCCACCCACTACCTGCTGCCCACCACCCATTGTCTCACCCCACTACCTGCTACCCACCACTGGTCTGCCACACCCCACCACCCACACTCCTCCACCCATTGTCCACCCCACTACCTCATCCACCACCATTGTCCCACCCCACTACCTACATCCACCACCCACTGTCTGCCAACTCCACCACCCTCTCCCCACACCCCAACCCACTGTCTGCCACCCACCAATTCTCACTCCACCACCACTGTCCCCACCACCCACCCTGCTGCACTGTCTGCCACCCACTACCTACACACCCATCATCCATTGTCCACACCACCCTCCTTACCACCATTGTCTGCCACCACCACCCACACCCCACCCATTGTCTGCCACCCACTACCTGCTACCCACCACCCATCTGCCACCTACCCTGCTACCCACCACCCATTGTCTGCCACCCACTACCTCATCCACCAACCATTGTCTGCCACCCCACTACCTGCACCCACCACCCATTGTCTGCCACCCCACCACCCCCACTCCACACCACCCACTGTCTGCCACCCCACCACTCCGCACCACCCACCACCCATTGTCCCCCCCACACCTGCTACCCACCCACCCATGTCTGGCTGCACCCCCACCACCTGACACACCCCTCACCCATTGTCTGCCACCCACTACCTGCTACCCACCCACTGTCCACACCCCACCACCTGCCACCCACCACCCATTGTCTGCCACCCCACACCTGCCACACCCCATCCATTGTCTGTTTACCCACTACCCACACCTTTCACCCATTGTCTGCCACCCCACTACCCACACCAATCAACGTTGATCTGGTTCCACCCCACTGCCTGCTCCCACACCCGATCACCTTGCCACTGCCTGCTGTCCACTTCCACCACCCATGCCACCCAACCTATCATGCTGACACCCCATCTCACCCCACACCCACCACTCATTGTCTGCCTCCACTGCCTGCTACTCCAACCCATTGTCTGCCACCCCCACCTGCCACCACTCGTTTGTCACCCACCACACTGACCTTGTTTCCCCCCCTCAATCTGCCTTTTCACCACTTGGCTGCTACCAACCACCCATTGGTTGCCAACTCCACTACCTGCTTCCAATGACCACTGTCTGCCACCCACTACATCCACCAACGAGTCTGACACCCCACTTCATCTTCTACTCCACACCCATTGTCTCACAATTCTACCTTCTGACACCTATCCGTTGTCTGCCACCCCACTACTTTCACTCACTCACCCATTGTCTGCCACTTACTACCTTGCCGGTACACCTCAACCGTTGTCTGCCACCCCACCACCTGCTGCCCTCATCCATTGTCTGCCGCACTACTCTGCACTCACCACCGTTGTCTGCCACCCACTGCACCTGATACCCACATCCGTTGTTTGCCACCCCACTACCTTCTACCCACCAACCGGATCTGCCACCCAGTTACACCCCCACTGACATTTCATCCATTGTCTGCCCCACTGCCTGCCACCACACTTGTTTGCTGTCCACCACCCATTGTCTGCCACCCCACTATGATACCCTCATCCATTGTCTGCCACTACCTGCCCACCACCCGTTGTCTGTAGCCCACTACCCACCACCTATCCCACACCACATGTCCCTTCCCACTCTTCCCACCCTCCCTGCCCTAATCCCACCTCCTCCCCCCTCCCTCTCACCCACCTCCTCCCTCCCCCCTCCCTTCCCACCCACTCTCCCTCCTCCCCCCTCCCCACCCACTCTCCTCCTCCTCCCCCCCCTCCCTCTCTCACCTCCTCCCCCCTCCCTCTCACCCACTTCTCCTCCTCCCCCTCCCTCACCACTCTGCACCCCTCTCAGCATAATTACAACAAATACACAAAATATTAAGCCACAAACTCCAGTGTGAGAAATAAACTCCCCACACACACCAAACACACCCCACACACTCACAAACACACCCCACACACCCCACAGCACACACTTCCACAAACACACCCCTGCCACACACTTCCTTACAAACACACTCCCTACAAACACACACACTCCCCAACACACCACCCCTACAGACACACTACTTACACACACACTCTGAGTAGTTTACTCCCAGTACACACTACCTACAACACACACACTTCCTACAAACACACACACACTTCCTACAACACACACTGTCCCTACAACACACACTCCCTACAACACACCCCTACAACATTGACTTCCTACAACACACACACACTCCCCACACAACACACACACTCCCCAACACACTCCTACAACACACATCTCCACAACACACACACTGTCCCTACAACACACGGATCCCTGCACAGCACACACACGACCCCCACAACACACACACCCACACAACACACACACCCCTACAACACACACACACAACACTCTTACAACAGTTAACACACCTCCTACAACACACACACTCCTTTACAACACACACACACTCAGCACACACACACACACACACACCTTACAACACACACACACTCCCTACAACAAGCACACTCCTACAACACACATACACTCCCCTACAACACACACACTCCCTACAACACACACACACACCCCACACCACACACACACACCCCCACAACACACACACACACCCCCTACAACACACACAACACTCCCCTACAACACACACACCCCTCACAACACACACACCCCTACAACACACACACACACTCCCCTACAACACACACACTCCTGGCCAACACACACACCTCTACAACACACACACACCCATACAACACACACACTCTTGCACAACACACACACACAAGTAACATGTAACTGAACGAAGTTTAACA